GCCAGCTTAGCCTTTCCGAGCACAAAGCCAACTCGACACTGCCCATCTGTCATGACAACTCTGAGGTAAGCTACTGCCCCTATTGCCCAGTTTGAAGCATCAGAAAAAACACATAATTCTGTATATGTGGCACTGGAGAGTGACCGTTGTATGTAGGAGCGAGGTAGATGGAGGTCACTCAGGTTCTTTAACGATTCTTTCCATGTTTCCCATTTGTTTAACTTGTCTGCAGGAAGTTCAGTGTCCCACTCGTGAATGTCAGCAGAAAGTTCTCTGAGCAAAGCTCGCCCTTTAATGGTCACAGGCACAACCAAGCCCAATGGGTCGAAGACGCTATTAACGGTGGATAGCACTCCACGACGGGTGAACGGCTTGTCGTTGACTGCCACTTTAAATGTGAAGGTGTCAGAGTCTATGTTCCAGCACAAACCGAGACTTCTTTGCACTGGAAGCTCTTCTTTGTCGAGGCCCAGGTCTCTCAGGCCTGCAGCCAGGTCTTCAGGTTTGAAGGCTTGCATCACTGTGATGCTGTTAGAGGCGATTTTATGCAGTTTCAGATTTGATTCTGCCAGCGAAGCTTGAGTACGCTGGAGCAGATCAATAGCTTCAGTCTCTGACGGGAGGGAGATGAGCCCATCATCCACATAAAAGTGTCTTTCAACGAAGTGGCGAGAGTCAGAGCCATACTTTTGTTCACCTTCTTGGGCAGCTCTCCGGAGGCCGTATATAGCAACTGCCGGCGAAGGGCTGTTCCCGAAGACATGTACTCGCTTCCTGAGCTCCATCACTTCCTTAGTCAGATCGTTATCCTTGTGCCAGAGGAATCTTAAGAAGTCTCTGTGGTCTTCTCTCACCAAGAATCCATAGAACATTTGTTGGATGTCGGCTGTCAGTGCAACAAGCTCCTTTCTGAATCTTAGCAGCACTCCCAGGAGTGAGTTATTTAAGTCAGGGCCTGAAAGCAGGACGTTGTTAAGAGAGATGCCACATTCTTGTGCGCTCGAGTCAAATACAACTCGTATCTGACCCGGCTTCTGGGGGTGGTACACTCCGAAAATGGGTAAGTACCAACACTCTGCATTCTCAGGAAGAGGGGGAGCTTCTTCAGCATGTCCGTTTAAAAAAAGCCTCTCCATAAAGGCAACAAACTGTTCTTTCATTTCAGGATTTTTGTTCAGTGTACGTCGCAAGGAGTGGAGATGGGAGAGGGCTTGAGCACGATTATTTGGAAGGCGTGGCCTGGGGAACCTGAAAGGTAGGGGAGCAGTCCAGCTGTTCTTTTCATCTCTGTGGAACTCCTTTTCCATGACCTCGAGAAACTTTTCGTCCTCGAAAGATAAGGCCGGTTTGTCATCATTCTCTGTTCTCACGAACACACAGCATCCAAGCTTGTCCTGAGATGCTATGCCGTTGCCAGAACAGCTGGAGAGATGAGTAGAGGTGCCAGGTCTGTGCTCCCCGCCATAGCTCACCTTTTCTTTGACGCTGATGTGTTCCTGACAGCGCGTCAGATAGGATGGACGTCCGTTCTGCAGGATGTTGGTCTTATAGACAGCCACAGTGGGTTTGTGAGCACTATCAATACAAACTTCCCCCACTATCACCCACCCCAAATCCAAACGCTGGGCAAAAGGTGCTTCGTGGGGCCCATTGATTTGCTGTCTCACCTTATGGACACGTATGAGGTCTCTCCCCAGTAAGATCAGGATCTGCGCCTCAGGATCAGGCTCTGGGATGTAAGGCGCAACAGGTCTCAAGTGAGCGTGGGAAAGAGCGACCTCCGGTGAGGGGATTTCTGATCGATTGCTCATGATCTCATTACATTCAATGAGTGGTGGTAAGTCTAAACACAATTCACTATTTACTGCTTGTACCTGGAAGCCGACTGCCTTCCTTCCAGTCATTTCAACAGTGCCGGCACAAGTTCTCATCAGGTAGGGTGAAGGGTTGCCTTGGACACCAAAAAGCTGGAAAAACTCAGTTCTAGCCAGCGAACGATTGCTTTGGTCATCAAAGATGGCGTACATCTTGATTGAGCGTTCTTTCTGTCCTTGTGGGAAAACTTGAACCAAGCATATCTTTGCACAAGATCGTGCTGGGAGGCCTTCTCCGCAGACCTCAGTGCACCTTGATGTAATCTCTGAAGGCGTGTTGTTTTGCTGTTCTGTGTCTGGCTCAGTCATAGATGACACTGCTGGTGAGAGGTGTATGTCTGGATGCATGGCTGTGCAGAGTCGATCACTTTCACATTCGTAGCATTTCAGCTCCACAGAACAGTCTTTAGCCATGTGAGTAGCAGAGCAGCACCTAAAACATCGTCTGTGGTCTCTTAGCAATCCTTTTCGTTCTGTTAGCGGTTTCATTTTAAAGGCTCTGCACTTTTCCAGAGGATGAGATTTGTTGTGAAGTGGGCAGTATTTAGCTGGATCACCACTGTTTTTCTTCTCCATCTCTGCTCTATACATTGAGTTCGAACCTGCAGCCGCTGACAAGTCTGTCTTATGGACGGCTATAGTCGTTCTCACACCGTCATGCTTTCCTATGGGCCTCTCATTACGGCAATAAGGGCGGTTGTTGTTTGTCAAGACAAAGCTGGGGTCATTTCTAGCTTTTGCTTCACTATTGACAAAGTCAGCAAAGAAGGAAAATGGGGGATGACTTACAGCATACTGTTCTTTGTATCTTGATCCAGTAGACAGCCATTTTTCTTGCAGGTTTATTGGCAGCTTTTCAACAATGAGGTTAATGCCTCGAGGTGTGTCAAGGTAGCTGAGTCCAGGTAAGTATCCATCATCTTTGGCTGAGAGCAGCTCCATGAGCAGGTCACTAAGTTCTCTTAGTTTGATGTTCTCCCTTGAAGTGAGACGAGGAAAACTGTCCAACCGTTTGAATAGAGCACTCTCTATCACTTCGGGGGTGGCGTAGCACTCTCTGAGCCTTGTCCAAGACATATGAAGAGCAGCTTCAGGGTTAGTGACATGTACTGCTCGAATTCTTTTAATGTGTTCAGATGATTCCTTTCCTAGCCATTTTACCAGGAGATCTAACTCTTCACTAGCTGTTAGGTGTAAGTCTTGAGTGGCGTTAAGGAAGGAGGACTGCCACGCTCTGAAGCTCTCAGGCTGATCATCAAACTTGGTAAGACCTGTCGTTACTAACTCTCTGCGTGCCAGATATTTAGCAAAGTCCATCATGTTAGCAGCTGGATTAATAGCAGAAGCCCTTGTGTGTCTTGGTGTGGTGGGAGAACCAACATGGCGGTAGTTGTGGCTTAATTCAGGGACCTCCTGCCTTGTCATTGGCTGTGTCTCTTTTATATGGGGAGGGGACAGTGTGTCTGAGGCAGGTGTGTCAGGACTGAACCTGGTCTGAGCTTGATGGTTCAGATATGCCTCCGTTCGCCGTTGAACTACCTGTGGTGAGACGTCACTCCTGATGACACTGCCTATGTCCTCATATTCTGATCGTGCTGCAGCTTCTAAAATCTCAGCCTCTGCATTAGCAGCAGCAGCATCTTTTTCAAGTTCTAGTGCTTCTAGGTCTGCTTCTAGTGTAGCTTTTTCCAAATCTAATTTGGCTCTCTGTTTTTTCAATTCCAACTCTTTTTGTCCATATGTGACCCTGGTGCGTGCAGCTTCAGCTGCAGCTCTGGCCTTAGCAGCAGCGCTAGCCACTGAATGCTTGGAGGAAGACGTGCGCTTTGAGCTGGCTACTGATGCTGCCTTTTCATCCTTTTGCGTTGTCTGGGCTTCCATAACTGCAGCAGGCAAATCCCTCTGATGAAATGGTTTTTTACTGTACTGTTCTCTCTATGTGTTTTGCTCTTGCGTGAACACAGATAAACAGCCAGCCAAACTCCTTATTCAAGAGCCAGGAAGTGAGCGGCTTGCTCCTTTATTGTCTTCTTACAAAGTTAGCCAGCATTTCTGACTGCAATGAATTCGGTGTAAAACTAGAAAAGAAAGATACAAAAAAATGTCTTAAACAGCCATGTAAATATCAGTATTAACGTATCAAAGTATTAGCTGCTTAATATTAACTCAACAGGTATTCTCACAACAGGCTAGCACAGCAGCAAATTAGCAAATAAACACAACACACACTGCTGTCACACAAAATATCAATAAAAGATATCAACACTTCTTATCGAATCTATAAACAAGGAGTAACACTTACAACCATTGCTTTCTGAGAGATTAGCTGCATTTTTGTGGTCCTGAGACGATGTATACACGTTTTTTCTCCTGCTAACGTTTTTACTTCCTACTTCCGGTTCGGCAGATTTTCAAAATAAAAGCACCCGACAATACATAGAAAAATAAAGAACAGTATATTAACATTTCGAAGTTGTTTTTAAGTGTCTTTTAAACATATTAAACATATTCAGGGCAGAACACGGGCCATACACGGTCACGTCGAGAGGCTGCATGCGATGGGATGTGTGGGGTGGGAGGGTGAGCAGAACAATTCCGTTGCTCTTGGACATTTCTATTGCCTTAAGTGAGCTTTTAGATTACTCAGGATTAGCAGCATGGGACGATCAGGAGTGCAGGTAGTGTGCTGTATCAGGTGATCAAGGAACTCAGGCCAGATGTCTTCATTCATCCATCCGTTCTGGTGGCGGTACCTTATGCTCCTGGAGGTGCTCCTGTCATGAAGCAATCCTTAAACTTGACTCTGGGGAAGACAAACATGGGAGGTATGGCATTCCCAGCATTCTTTATGAATCTTAAAAGGCTTGACTTGTCAATATTTCTGTCCCTTGCAGCGGCTCTTAGAGACTTCTTTCCTTCCTTGACCTAAGCGGCTGCACTCTCCATCTCCTCGAGGGGTGTTTTGCCCCAGGTTGTCTTCCTGGTGTAATTCCTTGGCATGATGGCTTTTCTACAATGTTTATGACATTTAAAATAAAAATGTAACATTACATATTAATTAATATGTAATTAATAGTAATATTACATTACATATCGTCACCTTCTTAAAATAATCGAATAATTGACTTTTTTGCATAACTCATGTCCTCCCCCTGCTGGCCACCTATGGTGAAATGGCCAGAACCCTCAGTTGAATTAATCATGTGGTAAAACCCATTTATGATTTTTGCCTATGTCAAGAGATGTGACTTAGGCTGATTTATTTTGCTCAAGTTAAAATACAGTGTGACTTAGGCAATTTTCACACAGAGCTTCATGATGGATGATTCAGTCAGTGAACTTTTTGCACTGATTCAGAGTTCATCTAAAAATGGTAAGTATGTTTTTTTTAATAACTATGATAAGAAATTAAGGTCTTAATGATAAAGTACAGCCAATTAATATTCCACAGATAGTGTAGAATAGCTGTGTTATTATACTGTAGTTGATCTTCAACTGTGTCAGAAAAATGCAGTAGCTGACAATGCTAGCTAAAATACCATACATTATGCTAAAAATAGAAACTCTTCCAGAAATGTAAAGACTTGGTTTTCATTTGAAAGTGTTTTGATATGGATTTTTAGGGACATGAAACATAGTTGTATCAAGTATAAAGTATGTTTGAAGTATGTATAAAGTATCAGTAGAAGTGCTGCTATGGAGTATTGGAATTGTGTGCGTCTACTTCATACATCTCTGATGAATTTAAACATCAGTGTGTTACATAGTCTTAACACCCATCATAAAATATACCAAAAGTAAATTCTTTATTGTCATAACTGTATGGGCCGTAATAGTTAGGTATTTTCCTTTTTTTTGTAGATGATGCATTTGACAACTCCAATGCTAATCTACTCTCTGCTGCTGAAAACGATCTCAGCATTGGAGCCATAGAACTGTGTGCGGCAGAGCAAAACTTTGTTCTTGATGAAGATGTGTTAGGCTCACCCAGCTCTGTGCATGCTGAAGATTCAGACTATCACCCAAGCAACAGTGATGCATCCACTGATGAAGATTTAGACTCACCCAGCCCTATTCATGCTGAAGATTCGGACAAACCAAACAGTGAGGTGTCCTCTGACAATGAAAATGAAGGTGCTGACTGTTCAAAGAAAAGGAAGAGATACAAGAAGTCCAATCCAGAAACATGGAAGCAGAACCAGGCGAAACAAAAACGCCTCAGAGGCGCGTCATACATGGGCATAAGTGGCAAAGAAGTCAGTGCAAAGGCTATGGGTCCCCCGTGTTCTTCTAAGTTCTGCCAGCGAGCTTCAACTCGACAGTGCCAAGACATTACAGAGGAGCAGCGGCAATGGATATTTAGGAAAGTATGGGCGATGAAGACCTGGGAAGAAGGCAAAATATACATCACAATGCTGGTTTCAAAGGTGACCATCAAACAGAGGAGGGCGGTTGGGGAATCCCGCCGCAATGCAACTCTGTCATACCAACTGAAGATGGAAGATGGCAGAAGTGTGAAAGTGTGCAAGGCACTTTTTGCATCTACGGTTGGTCTCCCTTTCCGAATGATCTCAGATTGGATTACCAACCCCCATATCAACAATGATGAAGAAACTCGACCAATAAAATCTGGACCTAAAACTGGAAAACATGCAAAGCTTGGAAATGAGGAGAAAGATTTCCTTAACGGCTGGCTGAAGGACCTCCCAAAAGTTGATTCCCACTACTGTAGAAGCTCAGACAGCTACAAGAACAAGAGGTTCCTACACCCAGGGACAACCATTGCCCAACTCCACCGGTTATATCAAGAGGCAGCTGCAGCTTCAGGGGTGCGGGCAGCAGGAATACAGCATTTCTCATCTGTGTCCCATGAACAGAACTACTCTGTTTTTATTCCGCGAAAAGATCAGTGTGATGTGTGTGTGTCATTCAAGCATGGAAATATCAGCAAGAATGACTATGATTCACATATCCTTAAGAAAGAGGAAGCAAGGCAGGAGAAATTACTTGACAAAGAGTCTGCAAATGCAGAGAAATCTGTGTGGACAATGGACTTACAAGCTGTGTTGCTCTGTCCAAAAACCCAAGCCAGCAGCATGTACTACAAAACAAAACTCCAGGTGCATAACTTCACCCTCTTTGACTTGAGAACAAAGGAAGGCTACTGCTACATTTGGGATGAATCACAGGGTGACCTGAGCAGTGAGGTATTTGCTTGCCTGCAATACCACTTGAGAATGTGATCCAAGACCACCCGGGACTCAAGGAAATAGTTCTGTGGAGTGACGGTTGTGGATATCAGAACCGGAATGCATGTGTGGCAAATGCATTGTCGGAGCTGGCAAGGAAGTATCAGGTAGAAATAACACAGAAGTACCTGGTCGCAGGGCACACGCAGATGGAGTGTGACAGCATGCACAGCACAATAGAAAGAAAGATGGTCACTGATGTCTTCTCCCCGTCTTACCTCATGGATAAGAGTGAAGAAAAGGAAGTGGAGAGGACAGGAGGGTGAAAAAGAGGAAAGGATGAGGAAAGAAGAGAGAGGAGAGGGGGATGAAGAGGAGAGGAAAATGAAGAGGAGGAGGAGAGAAAAGAGGAGGATGTAGGAGAGGAGAGGAGAGAAGAGAGGAAAGGTGAGGAGAGGAGAGGCGAGGAGATGAGGACAGAAGAGGAGAGGAGATGAGAGGAGGAGAGTGGAGAGGGGGATGAAGTGGAGAGGAGAGGAAAATGAAGAGGAGGAGAAGAGAAAAGAGGAGGATGTAGGAGATGAGAGGCGGGGAGATGAGAGGACAGGAGAGGAGGAGAGTGGAGGGGAGAGAAGAGGAGGAAGAAGAAAGGGAAAATGTTGTTTCTTGACTTTGTTTCTCCAAACACCAACCCCAACTGACTTTGTTTCTGCTAACAAATTCCTAATTAAAGTTTTGTTCCTTGCATGTTGTTGTCAAGCCTCATTCATTTTTCTTATGACCTTTGCCATCATTAGATATCATTTTAGTTTTGGAATGCCTATTTTAGTAGACAGTAAACAGTAACAGTTAACAGTAATAAACAGTAACACACTACGTCACACATCATTTAGGCCTGTACAAAGGAAAGCGTTAGTTTTGCCTATGTCATCAAAGGTGTGGTCCAAAAAATGCCTAAGTCATTTATTTAATCTTAGTCATTATGAAATAAAAAAAGTGTTCTTATTATGTCAAACATCATCCTTTGATACATACTTACAGACTTAAATTATTATTTTATGTGATCATTTAAATTTCTGGGGGAATATTTTGTGTTTCCTGGAAAACCTGGAAAAATGACTTATGCGATTATTTTAAGAAGGTGACGATATGCAATGTAATATTACATTAAAATATGTTTACAACTAAACTTAAAGGTACACTATGCAACCGGTGTTGATTTTCCAGTGAGGCTCCCTCCAGAGGGCGAAAGTAAAAGTGCACTGTCGTAAATATGCACAGCTGTTCTCCTGGTTTCTCCGTCAAGCCAGGCGCGGTTGTTTTGAGCTTAGCAGCGAATGACTAACGCTGCGTTCACACTGGACGTAGCTGGCGCGACAGAAGCAGCGAGTTTACATGCAAAGTCAATGGTTGACGCGCGTCAAGGCGTTGCAAAAGGTCCCGCGCACCAGGCGCAGCACGTCTGAGCAGCTGAAGCAGCGCATCGGGTGCGTTTAACGCAGGGAGAGAGACACAGCGCTGATGATCACTCCTCTTAAACAGTTTATTGACGCCTAAATTAACTGAAAATGCAGAAATCTGCCGGCAGAATATGCAGTTTGGATTATTTAGATGAAAAACACCTACCAGCTGCCGCGGTGAACCGCTGCTGATGAAGGGATCCATACTGCCGGCGCACCGCTGGTATGTGGGGGTCTGAGCGGCTCCGACAGAAAAAATATTGAAGGCAGGATAATAATCTGAATGAACTGACTGCACTGATTACGTTTTCAGGTGTATTTTCTCACTTAAACACATATTAAAACTACTTTATTCCCACTGATCACAGCAAATATAGCTGCAAGGCAGAGAAAGGATAGTGAAGCTCCGCCCAACGCGCCTCAGACACACTTTTGCACCGCGCAGCCAGAGCAGCAAAGCTGCTTCAGCCACGCGTCAGAACTAACTGGTACAAGCAGCAAAAATGAAGCAGCAGACGCGATTTTGCTGCTTTTGCTGCGTGAACGTAGCATAACTGCACAAAGATCGCCACTGTGCTAGCAACGAGAATGCTTTTAACTGGGGGCGTGTAGCAGTTCTCGCCGTAAAGCAAGACTGACTCTCACGAGACTTCTGAGCCTGTGAGTGCGGGTCTGTGCTCTTGCAGTTGCAAGTGCAGTATTTCCCCCACAGACCACCAGGGCGGCCGAGAATACCTTTGTTCAACCTGAAATGACTCATTTAGTCATCCATAACGTTATGGAACACATTAATTAACTGAAAAATATTGCATAGTGTCCCTTTAACCTGTGCCTCATGGTGGGGGTAAACTAAGACACTGTATCACTTTACCCCACAGCATTTGTCTCAATTTACCCCACCTCCACCATTTTTGAAAAAACGACCTTTCTTTGCAATTCAGGCTAACCTTCAGCTAGCATCATCACATGGTTTAATATGTTGGTAGTTCATCAACAGGTACAATATAAGTTTTTCTACTTGAATCAGTTTGCTTTGGCACAACGGTTGATTAAGTTGACAGCAAGAAAATTTACTTTTACATGCAAAAAAAAACATTTTGTTGGAAAAAACATGCTTACCTCAGCAAAATGAGCTTCTCTCCTTTATGGCAAAGGGGAAATGGGAGGAGCTTGGAAACAAAATGGTCACATGGGCACAAATGTGTTCTGTTGCCTAGATACAGGGGTTGTCTCATATTACCCAGTGTCTCACTTTACCTCGCTCTCCCCTAGCTTTGGATTGGCTGGTGTTAGCTTTGGATTGGCTAGTGTTAGCTTTGGATTGGCTGGTCTTAGTTTTGGATTGGCTAGTGTTAGCTTTGGATTGCTAGTGTTAGCTTTGGATTGGCTGGTGTTAGCTTTGGATTGGCGAGTGTTAGCATTTGATTGGTGAGTGTTAGCTTTGGATTGGCCACTGTTAGCTTTGGATAGACTGGTGTTACCTTTGGATAGGCTGGTGTTAGCTTTGGATTGGCAGCTATTAGCTTTGGATAGGCTGCTGTTAGCTTTGGATAGGCTGCTGTCAGTTTTGGATAGGCTGGTGTTAGCTTTGGATAGGCTGGTGTTAGCTTTGGATTGGCGAGTGTTAGCATTTGATTGGGCAGTTTTAGCTTTGGATAGGCTGCTGTTAGCTTTGGATAGGCTGCTGTCAGTTTTGGATAGGCTGGTGTTAGCTCTTGTTAGGCTGGTGTTAGCTTTGGATTGGCGAGTGTTAGCATTTGATTGGCAAGTGTTAGCTTTGGAAAGGCTGGTGTTAGCTCTCGTTAGGCTGGTTTTAGCTTTGGGTAGGCTGCTGTTAGCAATGGATGGGCTGGTGTTAGCATTAGATTGCATGCCTGGGGAACGTAATCTATTCAAGAACCAAGAGCCTCAGACTTGGAGGGGGACCTCCATCATCTCAGCTGCATGATGTAGGTCTGAGCAATTTAGTGATACTGGATTGAATATGCAGAACATGAAATCGTGCAGCAATTTTATTGTTATATTAAAGATACACCATTTCTGTTGCTTCAAATCCAACTCGTTGATATTTATTGTAAAATTCCATTCCACCAGAATTTAAATGCTTAACATTCATAGTATGGCTAGGAGGATTTTGGTAGAAATAAAGAAGAACATTCAGAAAAAGTCCTTGTTTAAAGATATAGAATAAATGTAATTACATCTTAACCTTTTCAGGAAAATACAGCTTATGCTTTAATGGTAAGTTACTGACATTGGGAGGGAAATATGGTAGGACAGATGGAAAACAGGGGCAGAAAGAGCTGCATTCTGTCTCAGCAGCCCATATTTGATCACTGTGATCCCAGTATGGCTCTGATTGATGGGATAATTATAAATATGGCTTAGAGATATTTTAATAAGGCTGCTTCAGTGATACTCAGCGAAAACATTTCACTGAACACAGGACACTGTGATGCACCAATAGCGGCCTTGGTTTCAAATGTGCAGGAGCTTTATCATCAATGCTTTACCACCCTCACCCTCTAACCATAAAGCTTAGAGGGTGAAAGAAACTTCAACTTCATCAACTTTTTTAAATGCAGAGGGTTCAAAATAAGAGTTCCGGTTTATATCCAACCATTTTTTAAAAAGGAGGATGACAGGGAATGCATAGTTGGGTGTTTTTATTTCTGCAGCCAGAGTCCAGAATGTTCCAAGCATTTCACCTTAACATAGTTTGGCATTTCCACAACGACTGGTGTTCCACTGAGACATTTAATGTCAAAACATGCACATATGGTGCACATTGTTGGCTTGTCTGTTTTCATGCTCTGTCATCATGTTTGTTTGACTTTAAGAAGAAATAAAAACAAAAAAAGACTGAAATCAGCTGAACAAACAGTATGGCTCGTGAGGAAATCTACATAAATCTGCTTTTTGTGAACCAAAAAAAATGTTCTTAGCAGGTGAAGAGTGTGACTAAGGTCCAAAATGTATAAGATTGGATCAACATCATATTTGCCATCAACAGTTGACCCCCTGTATATTTCAGATGGTTTGCTTAAAATAATGGATTTTCCCAAATGTCACACAGCCAGGCAGATGAGCTCCGAGCCAGCTCCCATGTCAGAGGATGTAGAGAACACATCCAGCCAGTCAGTCAGAGAAACAGGACTACACTGAAAAACAGGCTGATCTCCACCATCTATAAACAAAGGTGTTGATGGCAGCAGCACAGCTGATATTTCTCTCGAAGATGGAGTCACAGCCAAACAGGAACAGACCAGATGAAGCTACTATGAGAAAAAGCAGAGAGAGCAGAACGTTAGAGATTGAACTAACAGATTCTGCAGAGTGGGAGAATAGAGATAGAATGCAGCAGAATAATGAAAAAGATGTTCCCATGTCCTCCAGAAGTCTAAACCTATAGCAGCATAAGGAGGCTGCTACTGTAAGTTGGGCATTTGTTCTCCTCATTGGGTCACGTAATCTAGTAGGTTTATAATATCAGATGTATTAATCTTTTAGTTGGTGTCATATGCGGGTGTGTTTGTGCAAGTTACATTCAAAGAACTGTGTAACACCCCTAATGAAACATTTCCACTGGCTCCATAAAGCAGCAATCCACTTTAAAATCCTCACTGCGCACACTGTAAATATTTCTATCATATGGCAGTCTTCTGTACAGTGGTAATACATTAAAAAATGTTCATTAAATTTTTTCTCTTAGACATTGGAGAGGTGCATTTAAATGTTATAGAGCTAAACATGTTAAATTGGTGAGTAGTAGTAGTGTAAGTTTTTAACCTGTCAAGTTTTTTTTA